CGCTACTAGGAGCAAGGACGCTACTAGGGGCTCCTGGCCTTGCTACTCACACAAGTTGCGGTCACTGTCTGCGCGCGTCCTCCGGCCCTACACCGTGTTGGTGGGTGCCGAGGAGTTTGGTAAGAATATCTACGTGACAGATATGAACAAAAATGTGTAGTGCACACATGAAACAAGTCTAACTATGTGAGACCGAATGTCCGCATAGCACGAAGGGCTTGAATCAGTGAATTCCTAATTCGGATCGACAGGGATTGACACGGTATCGAGGTCACCGTTACGATTCCAACTCTTGCGCAAATTGCGACGATAAAGAAAGCGCTGATGAAAGGTGAGTGATATTGCATCAACAACTGGAATAGACGGGACGATGAATCGCATCGGGATCAGACCATCTGGATGGTAAGGAGGTTTACAATGCAGATCAGCAGCATATTGGATCAATGTGCGTTGTACCGCACCAGCATTAGGCATTTGAGGGCGTAACGCGAAGCCTCCAGTGTAAGACCGGCCCCAGCCAACTTGAGTGAGACTGATGGATCCGGTCTTGGAGTATGTGGGAAGCAATGGCGTGCTCGTGTAACTCTGCAAATAAATAACGATAGTGCGAAAGGCTTCTGCTTGTTCACGGAGGGCCCGTTTGGGAATGGGCAAAGCCAGTACCCTGGGATCTTGCCAATGAACAGGTTGTGCTCTTTGGGATTCAGGCAGATGTATCCAAGTAGGAAATTGGACACCGGTATTAACTACAAAGGCAATAGTAAGCTCATGCCATGTTATTCCCTGTGTGATGAGCGGATCAGTATGTATACCCAGAGGGTCCGGCCATACAAGTGATGTACAGAAACGAAACACTAAATCTGCATATTGATTGCCCCACACACAGGCCGTAATCCAAGCTGGATGGATATGTGGGGAAAAATTAAAGACCGGGGGTGGAACTGCGTAGTGTTCACGCTGGCGAAAAATAGTGCCCCAGTCCAGAGAGGCTTCGTGCTGAGCCGACCCGGTGCCACCGGCAGATGTGGTTGTTTTATGTTGGAGGTGACAAGAGTTGAGATCAGCTAAGTACGAAAGGATCGCCTTAGTTTGTCTGTATTGATCTTGATGCCAGATATTGGCTTTAGAGAACAGATGATCGACGGTCGGATGGTCGGTGTGGCGTGCACGCACGGCTGCTAGATCTGCCCACTTGGATGCCCGTCTTGGTTGTTAATTACATAGTTGGAATACTATATAGATGTTGAAGTTAGATAGTACTTGGCGCGCTTATTTAAGTAGACTTGGTGAACTTAGTTTATGTTGTTTAACTGAGTTAACCAGCTCCACTTAGTTCACTTACACAAGCCACCTAGCTCACTTACTAACCGAGCTTGCCTCACTTACACTAAGTTGTCCAACTGGGCTAACTGGGCGCAGACATGTCCTGCTAACCTGTTGGGCGGGTGACTTCCCATGTTTCATTTTGACACATGGCGTGTGAACTTCACAAACACCTGTGCTTTTGTTTGCCTACTGCACCTCCTGGTGATATACCATTGCTGACACTTCTCAACTGCAACGCTACCACTCTTTGGCCTACATAAAAAAATAACAACAAAAACAAACAAAGTCACACCACAACAAAAAAACAACAACAACCGCAAACAACCAACGAACAATTACCATACACACAACATCCTGGGTTTTAGTTCCCCCAACGCCCTCTGGAAGCCAGGCCTTCCAGAGGTTGGTGCGTTGGGGGCATAGCAAAATATATATAAGGTTTGCATTTTTTTATAGCATATATTTTTATTTTTGATTTTTTCCTGGATGTTAGTTCCCCCAACGCCCTCTCGGGAGCCAGGCCTCCCAGAGGTTGGTGCGTTGGGGGAGGACAACTCTAATAAGATCGTCGTTTTTTTTCGTTTCTGGTCTTCACGCTTGCCTGCTCAAGAGTTGCGCGACATGTTATGGTAGAGAACCACCCGCATATTGGTTCACATCAAAACTTCTGTGGTAAGTTGGTAAGATTTTTATCCATATATTGATATATAGGTATTGTATCTGATCATTCTTCCCGCTTTTTCACCGCTCTCAATGCCGGGCGTGAGTGCACCCCTCAGCTCACAACTGCACAGGCGCATGCATGGCCTGCCAAGAGCATGCACATAAACATGAACACTCTGGAAGTCCAAGCCTGTGTTTAAAATTGTTGATCTGATTTGTCATGTAAAAACATTGTAATCGTGCTTCGTAAAACCGTTACATTCATGCTGGAATGAAACCCATGTCGAACATATGTGAAGACTATACAATGTCACGCATGGCGAGGTGTCTCTGCCACATGCGAGCATCCAGCCCTGCAACTTACAAGAACCCCCAACCCCACTCACATGACAGTCAACCACACCAACCCCATTCACATGAGCATTCAACCGCACCAACCCCACGCAACGCCCTTTCATTTCTCCACCTAGCATCGTCTGACTGGCAAGGCCTTAAACCTTCCAGCGGGCGACCCATGGATGCAACAGCAGTCAATCGCCGAACTCTCGATGAAAAACTGTTCATCCGCCACCGTCACCAACGTGTACGGTACATTTTCCCGTGACACGTGGCAATGAACCCTGCAAACATGGGAGCCTTTACCCCAATCGGCAAGTACAACATCTCCGGAAGAGCACCTCATGCCTCGGATGCTCAATGAGGAAGATGTCAGCATCGGAACCAGTGCCACCTTATAGGCAGTGCAAAATGCTTCCGCCAGCCTAGATGAACAGGGCTTTTGGTCCGGCAAAGATGGCACACCCTCCTTCAGCTCCCAATAGTGTGAGAGCAACACGTCTTCCGTCACTGACTTGTCCAAACTCCGTCCGGTCTGTACATTGTTCAGGAAGCGCTTCACCTCGCGGTGCTTCCTTTCGTGAACAAAGCACGAAAGCAAAAGGCCCCAATGATCTAAGATCAAAGGAAGGTGCATGCTGTAGTGCGCTTTTGGGGGGAGCAAGGCCTCCCCATACGCAAGCTTACAGGCCTGCAAGTGACCTCGGATTGCTTCTGCAAGTTCCGAGCTGCGCACCCTGCCCTTCTTTGAACACAGAACCAACAGGTCAAGGACCCTACGGAGTGCTTGGAAGCTTTGAATGGCGAGATGAAGTTCACGAGATCTGTCAGCCGGCAAATCATGAAGAAACTCTGCCAGCACAGGGTACATCCCCAGTGCTTCAGACGCAGAGCTCTTGAATGTGTCGTTCTTCTTCTCGAGCACCTTTTTGGCGTCAACGCCTCTTGCTCCGACCCAGCTTGGCCACGTGAAGTGCTGAAAGTAGTTGTGAATCTCTTGCTGAGGCACTTTGGCTGCAGCCAACACTTTCAATAGTTCTGTTACCTCAGTGCTACAAATCGAGTCGAAGTCAATCGGTGAACGATCAACATCAAACAAACATTGATATACATATATATATATACATGCGGCGCATGCCCTGCAGCATGGCGAGACACATCCCTGCCACGTGCGGACAACGCTTACTTAAACAAATTGTGACGTGGTGTAAACTTCACAAATATATACAAATATATATACATGATGTGCCGTGACGTGCATCAAAACAAGAAATTGTTTTCTATTTGAAGCATGCGAGACTCCTCAATGTGATACAGGCCGGAGACAACATAACAATGCATCCAGTCGTACATAATGCCCTTTGTAATGGGAAAACCAAAGGCGGCGTTCGTGTCTGTGTTCAGCATACCCAGATGCGACACATTAAGACCCAACCTCTGCTGGAGAGCCTTGAACTGCCCCTTATTCTGCACCGACTCCTGCCCAACCAAATGTCGCATGTTCGCAAGCAACGAGGCATCTGAGTGCAGGCGCCATTTACTGTAATCAGTCTCCGTGTGCGCTACTAGCTGCTCAGCATTGTGATGCAGGTCAGACCCGAGGGACACCGTCGTCCGACACAGCAAGCACAGCAGGGTCCCAGCAGCCCCCTTGACTGAAAACATCTCTTTCAGTGCTCCTTCATCACTGACGCAAAGACCTGCCTCCGCGCAGAGAAAGCCAGCGTTCCCAGACGCAAACGAGAGCTGAAGACCGTGCCTAAAATCAGCACCAGCCTCAAAAAACGACCTGAAGGCCTCCCTCGTCAAAGCCGCCACCCCTTCCTGGACCTGCTTCTTCACAATGTTGCTGCGAATGATGCAGAGGCAAAACCAGTGGGTTTCTGATGACAGCTTGGCTCCATATTCCTGAGAGTGTGCCCCATTAAATGAGGTTGAGGTTGAGGTCTTCAGCTTACCGCAAAGCACTGGCAACATAAACTCAAACGTGA